CACTCCCCTGTTGCTAATCCTCCACATGATCTTCATTTCTATGGTTCACTCCTGATCTAGTTGTCCTCTTAATTTGCTTTTGTTTTAGGTGTGGTTGTTGATAACTGTGAGTTTGCTGTCCTTTCACTGTTCACCTTTTTTATCTTCTTTTTCTTAGGTAAGTCCCTTTAACATTTCATATAATAAGGGCTTGGTGATGATGAACTCCTTGAATTTGATCTTATCCGAGAAGCACTTTATCTGTCCTTCCATTCTAAATGAAAGCTTAGCTGGATAGATCAATCTTGGATGTAGGTCTTTGGATTTCATGACTTGGAATACCTCTTTCCAGCCCCTTCTTGCCTGTAAGAGAAATCCACTTTTGAGAAATCCACTGACAGTCTGATGGGAACTCCTTTGTAGGTGACAGTCCCCTTATCTCTTGCTGCTTCTAGGATGGTCTCCTTCATTTTAATCTTGGCTAATGTAATTATGATGTGCCTTGGTATGTTCCTTCTTGGGTCTAACTTCTTCGGGACTCTCTGAGCTTCCTGGATTTCCTGGAAGTCTATTTCCTTTGCCAGATTGGGGAAGTTCTCTTTTATTATTTGTTCAAATAAGGTTTCCACTCGCGACTGTTCTCTTCCCCTTCTGGTACCCCTATAATTCGAATGTTGGAACATTTAAAGATGTCCTGGAGGTTCCTAAGCCTCTCCTCATTTTTTTGAATTCTTGTTTCTTCATTCTTTTCTGTTTGGTCATTTTTTCCTTTCTTCTGGTCTACTCCCTTGATTTGAGTCCCGGTCTCCTTTCCATTACTATTGGTTTCCTGTGCATTACCATTCATTTCAATTAGTTTAGCCTTTATATGTTCCTCTAATTTGTGACTAAAATCAACCAGTTCTGTGAGCATCCTGATCAGCAGTGTTTTGAACTGTGCATCTGAAAGTTTGGCTATTTCTTCATCACTTAGATTTATCAGCTCTGGGGCTCTGAGTTGTTCTTGAGCCATGTTTTGATCTGTTTGTGCCTGTTACATATGAGGAGCAGAGCCTTAGTTGTTTACCAGGGGAGAGAGGGGCCACCCAGGTCTCTGGTTTGTGACGCTGTGTGTGGGGGCAGGGTCAGAGAGGGAGCAATGGCATGCTGGCCCAGTCTGTCCCACCACTCGCCCCCACCTGTTTATCTGAGTGGAAATGTGCAAGCCTGCCGCCCTGTGCCGTGGGGTCTCAATGCTCACTCACCTCTTCACTGGTTTATCTGCACGCAAATGCTCGACCGTAGCTAGCCCGCACCTGGGATCCGCGCCTTCGGCTGCTTGCGCACCACCCTGGTCGGGGATCTTTTTGGCCTACCCGCTCCGCTGCTGGCTTCGCCCCTCTTAGCAGTTTAGCTGAGCATTTCGTTGTTTTCGGACTCTGTACTGTCGATTTTCGGTGTGGTTTGGTTGTGTTTGTTGTTGTTAAAACTTTGTTGTTTTTAGATTTGGTTGTGCGAGGACGCAAGGTGTTTCCACCTACGCCTCCCTCTTGGCGGAAGTCCTACCCTTTTGTTTACCTTTCTTGACATAATGAAGCATAATATGCCAAAAATGTGTATTTTCTTCCATCTTTCATGTTAAAGTGGCTACACAAAAATTCACCAATTTTGATACTTAAAAAAATGCACACTGATATGACAGCTGTCAAAACAGTCTAACAAAATTGTTTTGAATGAAGTTAAAGCCAACTAAGTGCTACTAGAGCCCTTTTACGTGAAAACCAAATGCACTTACTGGCCAGCCCAGCAGTAGGGTCGAAAAGCATGGATGTGAGTGGCTGCCGTTATCTTGCAGACAAGAATAGAGACTCAACTAGCCCAGGGTTTCCAGCTGATTATTTGGCTCTTGCAGACAAAGCAGTGAGGTCTTTTGACCCCTAATGTAGTGCTTTTTCCATTAGGTTATGCCATGGAAACCTGTTGGCTTCTCCATATTGGTTTCTTAATTTCCTTCAAATCCGAAGCCATAGAACAGTGAGGGCAAGGGTGCTTTGATAGCTTCAGAGCAATAAATGACTGAATCGGCCCTTCATAGTGTGAAAAATTAGTGCTTCTCAAACTGCCTGTGAGAGGATCAGCTTTGTGAAGTGATCTCCCCGCTCAATCTGTTGCCTACAATGTAAAGTACAAGAAAAATAAGTTACCAGAGAAACCGTGCTCTGGAGCTCATGGCAGCGTCAAAGTGCTGTAAAAGTTTCTACGTACTTAATGTGATGTTTTTGGTGTGTATCTCAGCTTGGACCTCCCTGGAGGGTCTGCAGCTGCATACTTTGGATAGCCTTGTCCTAGGTGGCTCTGGGGGTGTCCCAGTACCAGAGGTGCTTGGTCCTTTTCTTCCTCGCGCTCCCTGTAACTGAAGCAACCAAAGGAGAATTCCCGTTCCTCCTTGGGGAGAGAAGGGCCACCACTTGGGGTTTGGTAGATCAGAACCACAATTTTACTATTGGGGATTAGGTGATAGACACTCACCTTTAATGTATTTAAGAAGAAATTGATAAAACTTGGATTTGATGCCTGAATCAGGGGGGAGATTTACCTCTTTTAACTACATTTCTTGTCCTGTAACTTTAGTCATAGTTCATAAAGGTGCTCAAAAGGGGGAGATAGAAAATAAAATACGGGGGTATGTAGTGTCAGAGGCACTTCAGTTTGTGTTTGCTTTTTAGAAGCTGGTTATAAGTAGTTTAGAATAAGCCTTAATTAGTTGGTGTGGCTATAATGTCAAAATGAAATTCGATTTGGAGCAGGGGAGAGAAATCTGTTCATGTGTGCTTTGCATCCTGGTTTCATTACTTAGTGGGTCGAAATGTTGAACTTGATACATCATTGGAGCTGTTACTTGGTAGTTAAACAATAATGAGGCCGTTTGGGTGTTTGCAGGGAACACTGCTCCCTGTGCCTGGACTTTGCTCTGGGGAGCGTTCAGTTGTTCCGAAGGCGCAGAGTTAGGAAGCGCAGCGCGGCGGCCGTGTTGCCGCTGTCCCGGCGGCCAGCTGTATGTCCGGCTTCGGACAAGCACTGCTGAACGCTTTCGGGAACGGCTTATGTTCCTGATTCCAAAGTGTCTTTGGTTGCCCCCTCAAGAGTTGGGAAGCCTAGAAATGCAGAAAGGTGTTGTACGTGTCTCGGTTATTCAAGTCAGGCCTTTTCTCTGTGAGCACCTCCAGGACAAACTTGGTCTAACGGGGGCAGGGTGGGGGGCGGGGACTGTTATGGGACTGTTGACTCCCAGAGCCTTTTCCCCCCTAATGGAGTGACAGTTCCCTCCGAGGGCACGCTGTCACGCTGTGTGCCTGCCTGCAGGGGACTCCGGTGTTTAGGACCTTGGTTAAGAAAGAAGGACGGGAAACACGAGGGCGGGTACAGGTGTTTTTGGGGAGTCCCATGCTCGCTCTGTGAAGTCTCGAATTTTACTTCGAACATTACGTTTGGTGACGGATGTTAGAAAACCATCTTTACAAAACAGTCCCCTTTCCTGTTGAAATGAGCTTGGGAAGCGTTAGGCCCCCTCAACAGGATTTATCTTGCTCATCGCGTTGCGTAAAATGGCATTTTTCTCTGAATGAAATTGTATGTGTTCTTCAGCGGGAGTTGGGGGAAGGCTCACCGGTGTAAGATGACCTACGCGTGCTTTGCCCTGGGACACTTCTCTGTTACGTTGTTGCACCTGCACAGACACTACCAGCAGTTCGAGTGCCTACCACGTGCCGGGGACTGCGCGAACCCATTCCATCCTCCCAACAGCCCTGTGGGGCGTCGGGGCTGCTCCCTGGGTTCTGCAGAGGCCAAAACGCAGTGCAGACAGAGCCCATGAGCAGTGGGCCTGAGGCCGCGGGCGGGCGTGGAACCCCCGGGGTCTGGCCGTGAGGACCCAGCTGTCAGCACCAGGCCACCGCCGCTGCTCACCTGTCAGGCCGCGCCAGGGTTGCTTTTCCAAGCAGATCTGTAGAAACAGGTGCCGTCCGTACAGCGTGGCCGTAAAGTGACCCTTTTGTACGCAGGCCTCCTGTGTGCAGTGTGATTTTAAAGTGATGTTCGCAGTGCTTGTCGCTTGGTTTGCCAGGTTTAGTTCCCTCCGCACTGAAGGTTGTTGTGCAGTTCTCCCTGAGTCCGAAACCGTAGTTCTGTCTCGTACATAAACTAGTCACCCCGAAATCGTATCGGGTTAGAGGAGAATTTATGGGTGGCTTTTGTCTTCTGTCCTTTCTTTTTTGGAGTTCCTCGCTGTTTGTCAGTATGTCAGTATGTCAGTATGTCAGTAGGCCTTCTCAGTAAGTTGGTTTCTTCGGAAGATGTAAATACACACGCCTCGCAGGGCCCTGTGCGGAGCGACAGTGAAACCGCTGGTGGGGAGACCGACTGCTTTTAGGAAGGAGCCGGATGAGTAAGCACTGAAAGCGAAACTCGGTCACCTGGGCTTGAGATGCGCGTTCTGCTTTCGGGGCGTGAGAGGCCTGTGGGGCTGCGTTGGAGAATCACAGAGGAAACATCATTTACATTTTTTCCACTGACCTCTCCCTCACATTTTGAAGACCGCTGCAGAGACTTTTGTTAAAAAAACCAAACCATTTGTAGTAAGAAGCCTGTCATGTGTGAGGCGCCCTACCTGGTAACCACGTCTGTCCCAGTTTGTTTGTCTCCTCGGTGTAGTTGTCGATGCTTTGGACTTCAAGCAGGACACTTGTGGCTGCACGCTGAGCCGAGTCGCCAGTGAGAGGTCATTCTGCAGGGCCGCTCTGCTGCCCGGCGGCTTGTCGCTCAGATGCAGGGACCTGGAGGGACAGGTGATGCCCGCAGTGTGTTTCAGGTGGTTTCGCTGATCCCTGCTCAGAGAATCCTCTTTCTCCCCCCACAGGGGGAACTGCAAAGTCACATGAAGTGTGCCTTGCTTCACAAAGTTTTCACCTCCCTCAGTTCTCCGTAGTGGTCGGGCCGTTGAACGACTCGTTGCATTTTTAGTCACGCACGTCCCTTTCCCTCAGCACCCCTCATCCAGCGATGGTGAAAGAACGGAAACAGTGCTGTCCCCACACTAGGATCCTTAAAGAAGTCTTCACCCCAGGGTATGTTTAGTGACCTGAGAGAGAGAGAGAGAGAGAGAGAGAGGCATCAGTTGGTTGCCTCCTGCAGGTGCCCTGACTGGGGATGGCAACCCCCAGCCACATGCCCTGACTAGGAATCGAACCTGCAGTCTTTTTTGGTGCACAAGAGGATGCTCCAACCAACCGAGCTACCCAGCCAGGGCCCAAACTATGAATTTTTGGTTAATTCTTAAGGAATTTGCCTCGATGAATATAGCCTTAAATATACTGAAAATTTGGCTTAGGATGGCCTTCACAACTTCTTAAATTGTTCTGTTTCATTTTATTCGTGAAGCGATCTTATGTACTTTCTGGTAATATTAATTAGCTTATACCTTCCTTATTTTAAAATACTGAGATAGTTGTCCTGATCCTTGTGGCTCAGGTGGCTGGGAGTTGTCCTGAAAAATGAGAGGTCGCCAGTTCGATTCTTGGTCAGGGCACAGGCCTGGGTTGTGGGTTTGGTCCCTCTCACATCAGTGCCTTCCTCTCGTTCTCCCTTCCTTCCCTTCTCTCTAAAAATAAATCAATAAATTCTTTAAAAAAACAAAACACTAAAGTACAAAGAATGTATATAAAGCAGAAGTGACTACTGTTGAATGCTCTGAGACATTTGAACTATATGTGTTTTTTGTATCTTTTTGTGTGTAGGAGGGGTTGGCAAAGGTGGCGGCAGTTCATTGTATGGAAAGTAATACCATAGTTGAGAAGTAATAATACAAGAGTAAACTTGGTTTTCTGCAGTCACAGCCGTAGACTGACTCAGCCCACTCCTGTACGAAAGTGTTCCCTGTACGCGTGCGCACGTGTGTGTGCGAGTTCATTCGCCTGTTCTGTGGGGCCTCCCCTTGCCTCCCAGTGGTGGTGACGTATTTATACGCATTTCTCCTTGTGATTTTTTTAAAGCACTTAATCCCTGGGACAGAGCTTGGGGTTCCTTTCTCTAACTTTTTTTTTTTATTTGTTTTCTTATAAAAGGGATGAGAGAGATACCTTTGAAAGATCTAACTGAAATATATTTTATTCCTGTTGTAGGGGTTTGGTTTGAAATAAGGTTGTAGTTTTATTTGCAAGTAAATTACTAGAATTCTGGATGTTAGTATATATCTATCCATTTGAAAAATAAGGAACACAAGTCTGATTTTATGATGTGATCTCTCACAGAACCTTGAGGGATGCAAGAACTGAACGCACTCATCTTTAGAGAATATGCAGTCCTTTGGGTGTTTTTCTGCTCATCAGCCACTCAGATGGCCTGTTTCCTAAGTGCTGCTGCAATACACAGTTGGGTCTTTATTTCGGAATCTCTCTCTCTCTGTCCTCTCTCCCTCTTCCATTACTTTGATTACCTTGATGGGACATTCAAGCTGTGCAGTCTTACCCTTTATTCCACAGCCTACAGGAGCCAGTTTGAAGATTAACTGTAGGTGGACAAGTAACCTCATCTGCCTGGCGAGGCGGCACCCGCCCAGGTGAAACACACGTCAACAAAGGCCTCCTAGACTTGAGGACCTGAATGGGGGTAACTTGATCTTGTGGCATTTTTAGTGGGAACCAGGGTGAAAATGTAGCCAGTCTGACTTGTTGGAGGCAGGACGTGGGCATGGGGTGAGGGATTAGAGACAGAAGGAGAGAAAGCGTGTGTGTGTGTGTGTGTGTGTGTGTGTGTGTGTGTGTGTGTGTTTGGGGAGGGGAAGAACCCAGAGGCACGTAGTAAAGAAGAATTAGGAATTCAGGAAATACTCTAAGTGGAATTACAGAATCCATGTTTGGAAAGGTTGTCACTGAGGAATAGGACGGGAGTGTCACCGTCACTTCATTATGAAGCAGTTGGGGGTGTGGGTGATGGAGTTTGACGACAGGGCCTTTTCCCTGCCCTTTTTCCATAGTAGCAGCTCAGGAGAAATAATGAAGAAATTGCTCCGTTTAGAAAATCACACCCATTGAATGGTTCCAAGATTTCTGTTGCCAGATGTCTGAAGTGAGCTGCCCAGGGTAGCAGTTTGGTCACATTGCCGACCTCTGTTCTCCCAGTCCTGTCGTCAGGGCCGCAGACTGCCTGACAGCCCAGATCTCTCCTTTTCCTGCAGGCGTCCGCGCTTTCTGTTCCTGACATTTGGGAACCTAGCGTGTGGCGGTGCCAGAGGTAGGCCATTGCTGTGCCCTGGGTACCGGCTGCCTTTCTGAACTCTGAAGCGTCACACACAGGGGGTCACAAAGTGCTCACACTCATGTTACGGAGCAGATGCTGGTAACACCCCGGGGGGGACAAGCCCGGGCGTGTGCCCTCGTGAAGCGCAGGGGTGGTCGTGCAGCAGAGCGCTGCGGCTGTGCCTCACACAGGGCCTGTTCCTGCATCCGAACGCGAAAGTAGCTCGTTAAAGATTAAAGGGACTGCCCGGTCCTTCTGGTCCCGAGATGGAACGATTCCTGCTGTGGCAACGGCTTTCGTCTCCCAGGAGAGGCCATTGTATACAGCAGGTTTGTGCTTCCAAGTGGTACCGCGAGCCCGCGGTGGCTGATGCTGCCGTGATAAGTTGGCATCGGGGGACTCTGAAGACACGTGAGCTGTGCGGCCTCCCCCGGTTTGCATTTGCGGGCAAGACCGCCTCCCCAGGCGTTCAGCAGCCTCCGCCCTCAGCCCCTGTCTTTGGGAGGTTTTCTCCTTTGTGTTATTTGATTATTCTGTTGAGTCAAGTGAACTTTAATCTTCGCAGCCGTAAAAATCCCACGAGCCCCTGTGCTGCGCCTCAGCTGCGAAGACGTCTCAGGATAACAGGACTGCAGGTGACCACTCAGACCCTTAATGGCTGCATAGGGGGCCCGCAGCGCATCACGCTGAGTGACATGAGCCAGTCAGAGAAAGACTGGCACCGTGGGACCGCACTCTGGTGGGAAACCCAAGGGACAGACTGAGCAAACAAGGGAAGTGGGGACAGGCTCATGGATGGAGAGCAGGGTGACAGCTGGTTGGGGGGTGGCGGGACTGAGCAAAAGGAAAAAGGACTCGTGGACAGGAGCAAGCAACAGTGGGGTGATTACAGAGGAGGAGGGTGTAGGGGACTAAATGGTAATGGAAAAATACAACAGACTTTTTTAAAAACATCAAAAAAAATCTTCGCCCTGGCTGGTGTAGCTCAGTGGATTGAGTGCGGGCCTGCGAACCACACGATCGCGGTTCGATTCCCAGTCAGGGCACATGCCTGGGTTGCAGGCCGGTTCCCTGCAGGCCAGTTCCCAGCAGGGGACGCACAAAAGGCAACCATAGATTGATGTTTCTCTCCCTCTCTCCTTCCCCCACTTCGCCTCTAAAGATAAATAAATAATAAAATATTTAAAAAAAAAAATAAAAACCTGAAAATTGTTTAAAAAAAATCCTCAAAAGTAGTTAGGATAAATGTCTCTGGAGGTCTGAAGAAAATAATGGGCCAATGAACAACAGATTCAGCCCGATTGCTCTGTTTTTTGGCCTTTTTCTCCTGTGTTAGGGGACTGACGTCTGAGACACGCTTAATGAGACTGCTGTTCAGTTTGGTGGGGTCGGGACAACAACTTTGCAAAGAGCACGTTTTGCTTCGGGAACATAGCTCTGACCTGTCTCTCAAAACACGACCCAGGGCGCAGCGGCATCACAGTCACTGGGGAGGGGAGGGGAAGATGCTCATTAAAGATGCGGACTCCGGAGGCTCCCTGCACCACGGAGAATTCAGCATCTGGGGCGGGGTGGGCCCCGGTCATCTGCAGTGAGCACCCCCTGCTGACTCCAGCACGCTTGGAGTCGATCTTGGGTACCCTAAAATTGCCTTCATTTCTCATGTTTAGTTTCTGTGATTTGCTAGATGACAGATGTTTGGTTGACATGCATGTTGTCCTTTTTGAAGAGGAGGTATACTAGTTAAAAAAAAAAAAAAGGTTAAGGGAACCCAGGACCCTAGAGATTCGAGTTTGGCGGTGTCTGATTTTCAACACGGCGAGGCAGCCACGGATTTTTGGGTTTATCAGTTCACCACCTGTGAGAAGAAGTACACGGACATATTAAGATCCATTTTGTTAAAAAGAAATGTGCAATATTATTTAGGGTGTTGTGAATGGGAGAGTAGGTAGGTGTTGAAAAAGTGCGAAGGGGACAAGATTAAGTAGTTTATAAATGGTAAAAAAAATGATAGCCCTGGCTGGTGTAGCTCAGTGGATTGAGCAGGGGCCTGTGAAGCAAAAGGTTGCCGGTTCGATTCCCAGTCAGGGCACATACCTGGGTTGCAGGCCAGGTCACCAGTAGGGGACACATGAGAGGCAACCACACATTGATGTTTCTTTCCCATTCTTTCTCCTTCCCTTCCCCCCTCTCTAGAAATAAATAAATAAGTTTAAAAAAATTGTAAAGTTCAACTGAATTTTAGTTCTTTATTTTTATTTTTTAAGATTTTATTTATTTATTTTTAAAGAGAGGGGAAAGGAGGGAGAAAGAAACATCAGTGTGTGGTTGCCTCTCACGTGGCCCCCCACTGGGGACCTGGCCTGCAACCCAGGCATGTGCCCTGACTGGGAATCGAACTGGTGATGCTTTGGTTCACAGGCTAGTGATCAATCCACTGAGCCACACCAACCAGGGCTCAATGGAGTTTTAAATTACCACATAATATTTGGATACATACTTGTTAAGAACAATTCAAATGCAGATAAAGCTAAAAATACCTTGATCTGCTCCATTTGCAGTTCCCTCTTTGGCACATGTGTCCTTTCATATCTTTATGTATTTGGTAATTTTCTATGGATTTGGAAAGCTGCAGAATTCTGAGAAGTAAATATTTTTAATTCTCTTGACAACTGCTTTATAATGTTAATAAATATTGCAGAACAAAATGTGGGGTATCAATGACATTACATACTCCTCTTCACGCAAAACAATGGGTGTGGATGTGTGCATATTTTATATACACACACACACACACCCTCTAACACATCTGTTGTGACCACCCATGCAAAGTGAACCTATGTAGCTTAGGCAGTGAATTACTTGTGTGACTTCTAAGGTAAGGCATTGAAAGACCTTAAGTGCAAGGCCACCATTATTTTTTACATTTCCCGTACATATTTTTATATTCTCATAGTTTTCATTTAACCTCATAAAACCTCAAGCAGCTGAAATTATTTCAGATTCAGCGTCTTTTTAAAGCTCTAAATGTGTAGTCCTCAGCCTTCTCAGTTTAAAGGAAGTGACTAGGATGAGCAGGGCTGTGTTTGTGGGGACCCCACACAGGGAAACGATCGTCGGTGCCGGCTTATCTCACCTGCTGAGCGGTGTTCATCGCAGCAGAGTCAGCGAGTTCCGGTGTGTCTGGCCCCTCGGTCGCTGTCCGTATAATTTACATTTATTTCCCAGGCACAGTACCTCCGGGTTTTCTCTTCCTTATTTCCTAATACGGAATGAGTCAGAAGCTCCTAACAGTACCTGTTTTCCCTTTTGGAGGTTCCATGCTCGTCTTTACTGTGTGGCCTTGTGCATTGCTTCCCGTCACAGCGCCGGGACTTATCGTCCTCTGCAGCGGTGTTGCTGGGAGTGTGGTCCGTGAGATAATGGCGGTGGCCTGTTGTAAAGGTACTTTCATCCTGTGAAAAGGACTAACTGACGGACACTGTAGGAGAACTTTAAACAGCCATTTTCTTTTTCCATGCTTAAATTAAATGAAAATTTTTATTTGCTGTATTTTTCCCCCCCAACACAGCTGTTTTCTGAAAAGGGAGACACTGAAGGGGAGGAAGTAAATGAGGGAACATAAAAAAGTAAAATAAAGTAAATAGAAGGGGGAGCATAAAGCCTTCTACAAGCTCAGTGTGGCTGTCCTACTGTAATAATGTAATTAGGGGAATTAGGTGATTGGATAAGTAACTTTTTTTAGACTGGCCCGTTGAAAAGGAATAAAATTAAGTAGCGTAGTTTTTAAAACCCAAATTATGACGGTCTACATGTATATTTTAATTGACCTAATAAAATAACATTTGTTGAATGACCACTGAGTTGGCAGCTGCGTCCAGTTTGTTGTGGGAGACCTCCCTCGGGGGGATGGGTGGAGCTCGATGTGGTGGCCTCGAGTGACTAGGCTAAGAAGTAGGTGATGGCTGTGAGGACTTTTGAGCAGGGAACAGAAGGATCTCGTGTGAACTCTGGTTTATTTTTTGTCAAATGAAAACAGAAAGTGAGGTCTTAATCTTTTGTTTTCTTTGTATAGCACCAATGCCAATTCTTGCCTGGCAGGGCAAATTCAATAATAATTAGTTGCTGTTGATGATCCAGTCATTCTAGAATTGATTTTTTAAAAGTAAGCTGGCCAGTAAGAATTAACATAAACAGAGGTTTTTTGTTTTTTTTTCAAAGTGTTCATGCAGCTTTCACAGACTATATTCCTTAAGCGTCTAGTAGGTAGGATGGTGGATAGTTCAGCTTTAGTAGAGAGAATGTGACAGCCGATGAAACCACCTCCAGTATTGGTCTTGATTGGAGAACTTGAGTTGTCGGAGGAAGTAGAGAGGCCAGAGGAGGCCTAGAGGGGAAAGAACAGTGAGTCTGGCTGGAGCTCATGAAAACTCCCTAGTGGCAGAACAGCCTGCGGTGACAGTGAGCGCCCCAGGTCCTTGGACCCAGGTGTTGTAGTTTGTACATGCAGAGAGATTTCCGTATTAGCCTCCTGGGGGTGATCTTCAGAGCTGGGGCCCAGCTCCCTCCAGGCATCTTGCTGTCCTGCGCCCCAGCTGTTCTCAGATGAAATTTCAGAAAGTGACCACTGGGGCTTTCTGGGTAAAGGTTTCAGAGTCCGAGGAGGGACCGGCATTAGGGGAATGAGGTTTACCTGTCCCCAGTAATCAGCAGTCAATTAAAAAAAACAGTGGGGCTCCTCTTTTCCAGGTTGCAGAGCACGGAGGTCGGCTCCGGCTGAGCTGTTTGGGAAGTGTGCTTGCCTGGCATGAGTCAGCACGGCCCTGGGTAAACCGCCTGCTCTGTTGCAATCTTGCTTACCAAAGATATGTCCCCAGGCGGCACCATTCACTTTGCCTGAAAGCCACTGCTGTTGGTGCCTGAGATGATCTCATCTGAATGTTGCTCCAAGGACTTCAGCCGCGGGAACTGGAGGCAGCTTGCTTTCTGTCTTGGCAATGTTTTGAAACAGGCAAAATCAGGTAACCCCCCATTCTTTCTTAGTTTTATTAGCTAGACTGAGCTGCAGTGGAAAGTCCTCAGTATGCAGAAGCGAGTCACTGCCTTATCTCGGGCTAGCTTGAAGTTAATCCTTCAGCTCTTTGGGGCTTAAGCGGGGAAAGTTTCATTCATTTGGCATCTAGATACAGTTTTAGACCTAATTAGACCGTTTATTATATAAACCTTAGAGAAGTCAAACCGATTTACAGCTTTATCCATCTTTGCTCTTGTTTTCTGTTCTTTTTTTTTTTGTCTTGTGAGAAACACTTTAGTCAAACTATTGTTTTTTTTTTTAAAATAATTTATTAACTTGAGAGAAAGAAAGAGAAACATCAATTTGCTGTTCTACTTGTTATGCATTCACTGGCTGATTCCTTTGTGTGCCGTGACTGTGGAGCAAACCTCGGCATCTCAGGATGACGCTCTAGGCAAGGGAGCTACCCGCCTGGCCGAAATGGAACTAGTGTTAAAGGAAGAGAGGGGCCCACGGATCTGCTTATCTACCTATCTACCTAATTATCATGAATACTGAATTTCAGGGAACACTCACTGTTTCCCAGTGGGTTTCCGAATTCCTTTCTGCGGTATTATGAAGAACCAACTCTGGTTCCTAATTCTGTTGAGGCTACTGCCCTCTCTCCCTCCTCCTCACGTCTGAACTTTTTAATAAGTCTTCAGCCCTGATACTGGGTAACTGCCCCCTTCAAAGTTTGCTCCTGCTCCTTGCAGTTACCCCAAACATCCATGTTCTCTTTTGCTTCGGGCCTTCGTACAAACGGGCCTTCTCTGAAACACCCTGCCCCAACTCCACCCCAGTGAGCTGGCCGGAGCGTGGGAGTCTCTTCTTTCCTGGAGTCTCCTGTCCTTCACCGAGACTGGGTTGGCCGGTGCTCAGGTGCGCCCTGGGTTTGTCTGATCGTAGGTGTATGAAAATCATCGTCTTTTATCAGAATTGTATCCAGGGTGCTCGGCACGTAATTGGTTCGCAATAAGGATAGAATGAGGCAGAGTCGATACTCCCACAGCTCTGCTCCCCTCGGCAACCCTTCCTTTTGGCTTCCGCCCCTATTACCCTTCTCATGTTTTCTTGGAGATGCCCAGTGAGCTCCCGATCACCTGACCCAGTACCTAAGCTGCTGTCCTGGTTTCAGCCTTTATTTTGCTTCATCCCTGCCAAGCACTTAGCGCTGTTGAACCGTTCTGTTCTTCCCCCAGCAACACTGCACTCGGCTGTGAGGCCTCCTTGTCCTCTCTGAACTTCCAGTGTGTTCTGTTGTTCTCTTTGAATTATCCCATAACTGTTGATGATTCAAGGTTTTGCCTTAAGTATGTTTTCATTCTTCCCCGGCCCCTTCCTCTAAGGATTTCTGATGTGCGCATAAATTCAGCTGTCTTCAGTATTTTTTACCAGCCCAGCTGTTTGTCCCAAATTTCAGATCCGTCCTCTCTCCCTCCCTCCTCCCCTTCTTCCCTCCCTCCTCATCTGAGGACATGCTTATTGATTTTAGAGAGAAAGGAAGTGGGGGGAGACCTAGAGGAACGTTGGTTGCCTCCAATATATGTCCCCAGACTGGGGATCGAACCTGCAACTAGATATGCGCTCTGACAGGGGACTGAACCCACAGCTTTCTGGTGTGTGGGACGATGATCCAACCAACTGAGCCACCCATCCAGGGCCAGATCCTTATTTCCAGCTTCAAGAATCTTGACAAACTTTGTCTAACTTGGCAAACCTACCAGTATGTTCAAAGGCCCTTCAACTCAACACGTGATAACAGCTCATTATCTCCCCTACACAGTGTCTGTTATCTGCTTGTATTGCTGTATGTTTGAACTCTGTTAATTACATCCACCAAATCTTCCTGTTTCCTCTTTTTACACCCCACGTCCTTTAAATGTGCTAAATCTATAGTGACTAAACCCTTTTGATTAGTACTGTATTGGAGCACTGTTTGATGTGTCTTTTCTTAATTCCCACTGCTATTGCCTAAGTTTACCCCAGAGGTCAAAAACTAGACATTTTGTTTAATGAGCCCCACAGCTTAAACGTTTGTGTGCGGGTCTCTTAGGCAGGGCCTGCAGCCTTCCAAGGTCGAGGGCAGCACCGTCCTCTCCCATCTCACACACTGAAGACTTTGCCTCTAGGGGCTGGAGTGTCTAACTTCGGGTTCAGTCCGTACCTCAGCTCCCCCTTCATAATGTTGCTAGTTATCTTCCTAAAGGCTACATCTAATCTTTTTATTCTCAGGTTTTCCAGAGTGGCGTTGTTTCCTTATTTCCTGCTTAACTTCATAGGTGAAGTCCTTCACAATCCAACCCTCTGCTGCCTATCTCATCTCTGTTACTATTACCATCTTATCTCCTCCTGGTCCCCCAGCCATTCCTCTCCCCCTCAGCCTCCCAGCACTTCCCATCTTCTAGTTCCCGGTCATGCAGAGTCCTCCCGGGACCCCGTCTTCTGCTAGCGGCCTCCCCTTCCCCGGTCCGCCAAGTGCTCACCCCCCAGGAGACTTAGTTCCTGTGTTACACCTTTTCTGCCTTTCTCACATAGGGTTCTTCTTCCTTTTTATTTATTAACTTACATATTGATTGATTTTCAAGCAATCAAGCGAGAAAGAGAGAGAGACTTGATTTGTTCTTTCACTCAGGTGTTCACTGGTTGATTCTTGTATGTGCCCTGACTGAGGATTGAACCCGTAACCTTAGCATAGCAGGGAGACACTCTAACCAACAGAGCTTCCTGACGAGGGCTTATTCTTTCTTATTCAGATTTCCCCAGCCTGGTGCGTCCCTTCTACTGGTCTGCTGAATTCCTTGACTGAACCTGGTCCCTGACCTCGTTCCATCAGGCAGTGGCTGACGTAGGTCTGCAAGGTCAAACCACTAGTTCAAATGTCTTTATTACTCTTAGCAGTATTGGGCAATTTATAAGCTTTTATAAGATGGCATGTTTTTGGTTCCTGTTTGATGAACTTGAGCCCATGGTGCCTAATCCCCATATAAGTCTGGAACCGTCAGGTCACCATTCAAAGTCAGTTTGAAGATTTACAGGCTTTGCTGAAACTGAGTTCCATAATGTCACCTAACACTTTTATAGTATCGGCACTTTACCAACTTATTCCCTTGTATCATTTTATTTAATACTCGCAATGCCCTTTGTTGGGTGGGCTTTATTATCCCTCTCTTACCCCCCTATTTGGAAGCTACTTCTGACATTGAAACGTACTTTCAGTTAAGACTCAGAGAGAAACCATGTTTTTACATGGCCTTCAGCAACTGGTTTGTCTCTTGCAGTTAAATAGACCTTACTGGCTTCCCCAGCGAGGGTACCTGCGCTCAGTAGGCAGTGCTGAAGGTCTTGCCTTCGATAAGGCCCCTTTATGTCTGAGGGGGAAGGAGGAGGTTCCCAGAGCCTGCCTGACAATGGAAAGACCTTGACTGAAATGACTGGTGTGCCTGCTCCGGCCTCTCTGGCTTTGCCATCATGCTTCAAATGTGTAGAGTCTGTGAAGCCCAGCGTGACAGCGGAGTGTCAGACCACGCTGCTGAGTGAGGGGGGCCGCCCCAGAATGGATGAGTCGAGTGTTGAGAGCAGGAGAGGTTTCACGGTAATTCTAGCAAGTGATCACGTTTGTAGGGTGATTCACATTTTGGGGGTGCTAATAAGCTATATTTGGGACTGAGCGGAATTGGATTGTGGGAAGATGAACCGTAAGGGCTGGGGAATAATCTCTTAGATACCGGTGTCCAGTTTTGGTCCCCACATACTTCAGAGAGGATAAAGAAGATTAAAAGTTAAAAAAAATAAGTCATCATACATTTTTTTAAGAAAGATTTCTAGCCTGGAGAAGGAAAAGCTAAGGGATGATGGATTGATTACCATCTTCAAGTACAAGACCAGTTTCTGCCAGGGGGGATCTGATTAATTGTTCTTCATGTACTTCAAAGACTTAAAAGGAAATGGGTTTAAACTGAAGGAGGAGTAATTTTAATGATTGCGAGGTAGAGTCTGATCTTCAAAGTTGAGAAGCACTTGAACGGCCCCTGAAAGTGTTGAATTTCTGTTCGACTTATCTGTCCCCGAGTCACAGATCACCCTGAAACTCTCAGTGGCCTCAGATGACAGCCATTTCATTGCTGGTCAGTCTCTGGGTGATTTGGGGAAGAGGAGTGTGTGGGTGTGCCCCGTGTGACGGTGGCTGGACTGGAGGCTGTATCACGGCGTCACCCAGACGTCTGGGGCCTCGGTGCCGGCCGCTGGCCGGGGCACCTTGGTCCTCCTCCCTTTCTCCCTCGGTCTCTCGCCTCTCACTCGTGTACGTCGGGCTCCTCTTCCATGTTGGCCGGCTTCCAGGGGCCCGCAATGGGAGCTGGAGGGCCTCTCAAGGCCCAGGCCTGAGAGTCCTACATCATCTCTTTGCCCCGTGGTTTCGGTTAAAGTGAGTCACGAGGGCGGCCCGTGTCCCATGGGAGGGGACATGGACAGGAGCAGAGTGTCAGAGTCACACTGCAGGAGGGCACGCAGTATGGTCGGGATCGTTGTCCCCGACTTTGGAAACAGTTTACCACACTGACCTTAGAGCTTTTTAATGAGAAAAATTAATACATGTTTATTGAATAGATAGTGTGAGCATATGATTTAGGACCTTGGTTGCGTGTCAGAGTCATCTGGAAGTTTTTATGAGCACGGACTCCTTAGGTACCACACATGGGACACATCCAGGTCTCCCGAGGGTGTTGGCGCACGAGAGACACCGTGCCCTTTCTCTCAGGAGCTGTCAGTAAAATGACAGTGGGGATGGGGAAGGGAAGGAGATGGGTATAACATTCGGGGCAGGACGGTGGGTACTTTAGCACAGGCGAGCCGGTCTCCTCCTTCGGGGCTGGGCCGAGCCCTCTGCCTGGCACGCCCTGCGCTCCCGGCAGCCCAGTGCGGGTAGTTCCATTTGGCCAGCACAGCATCGGAGGAGTGGGGTTTCTG